ATGACTGAATTGATCATCTCGCGGTAGGTGTTAAAATCGTTCAAATTTTCTGTACAAATGACAAAGAAACGATGATCTTAGAACTGATTTTTATGATTGAGAACTTTATCTTCAAACTAGGCTGTTCAAATAGTGAAAAAAAAGCGTTAAAATGAGAAGTAAACAGCAGGCTTATACTCACGTAGTGAAGAGTACATGAAACCAGGCACTTTCCCGTAGTAGAAAGCAAGGCCACGGCGGGAAAGCCGTACTGGTGCGCGCGTCATGACGTCACCGGAAGTGATCTTTACTATCTGCCGCCGTACTACAGGCTAGCCGTACCATATCTTAAAGTCCCTATTGTATTTGCCTGTACCTACTTGTACAGAGACACCGAGTGTCTTGCGCAAGTACATAATACCATCGGAGTCCATGCAACGCACTAAACATTACACCAACAAGTCTCCGAAATGCAGAGATTCAACTATAATGTTTCTTATGCTTTCCCGTCATCTAGTAATTCCACCAGAATTCGTACTAGTTGCTTACCCACATGAGGGCCGTTCACCTTCCAAGTCGACAANATCTAGTAATTCCACCAGAATTCGTACTAGTTGCTTACCCACATGAGGGCCATTCACCTTCCAAGTCGACAACGCGAAAGGAAATTTTCATGTGTGTGCCTTTTGGAATAGGAAGGGAATAATTACAGTCCATGTTGCTTGGGTAGTTGCTGGGATATCCAGGACTTGTCAGTGAGTTGTTAACGATAGAACCGCATCCTATTAAAACAACAAGTACATTTTTCAAGTTTAGTGGAGTTAGCTTCCTACTTCTAGCAAAAGAAAGCGCAATTGTATGATTTTCAGGACTTTCCTTTTCGCACACGCGATTTACTGTATGCCAGCAACATATTCTTTTTTCTCGTGGTCAGTTTTACTTGCAATTTGTCCGTTCTTGATATACTGCATACTTAAATCTAGGATAGGATGGCTTGAGTTTACAAATAAGGGATAAAGTGGTCGGGACATATCGACACAATTCATATCCAGAAAGTTAACAGTCGTATGTTCAGTTGTGATAACGTTCCTGGTGCAGGCGTTATTGATGGCATCTACTTAACATAATTATTTCCAGTTACAATTACACGTCATTTCGAGCCCATGATTATCACAAAAATTAGTCTCTTTCGTTATTAAAATTTCAAAAAGAGTGCGACCTGGTCCTTCGATGATACACTTTATTAACTACCGCTTCGAAAGTCGATGCATGACTGCAGACTAATCTAATGGCTGATCATGTTCAGTTTTCACACCTCTCCTTTCCTTCTCGTTTTTCATGTGGTGAGCAATAGCATTGTTTTTAGAGGGAAATGGTTGTGAAGCCCGGCAAACATCAAAGGAGCAAACAAAGATGCCAAGATCTATGCTGGAAGGTCCACGACCGTACAGAATCTTTTGTTTTTCGCTCATACACTATGAATGAATTACGTAACCAACACGTTTCTATTGGTTAGTTTTAAGTACGGAGCAAACAACTATTGTGTTTGTGTGCACGGTCAAGGCCAAAAAAGCGAACGAAAACCTACAACAAAGAAATTT